ATAAAGCTTACACGGCGGTGCAGATTGACCTCGATCTGGATCTTCCTTACGACTACTGCATGATATCAGTGCTGTCTCAGCGGAGGGGCCAACCATCAATACATATCTTAAACGTATACTGTCCTCCTCGCCTTGCAAGGGCTTCGTTTGCGCATCTCTTCTATCGAGTGCTGCGTATAGCGGCCCGACAACCACTGGTGATTGTCGGGGACTTTAATGCCCCCAGCCCTCACTGGGGTTACCACTACGAGAAGGCCCGGGGCAGAGAGCTCAAGGAGCTCATTTCCTCGCTGAGCCTGACGCTTCTTACCGATCCGGCACAACCCACACGTTCCGGCAACTCGGTCACGCGAGACACATGCCCCGACCTCTCCCTCACCCGTCACATCCGCGATGCTACATGGGAGAATTTAGGCGAAACCCTAGGCAGTGATCACTTTTTACTCCGCATTTCGTTCACACCGCGGCAGAAAATGCGCCAACACTGGGGCCAAGCCCGTCTCACCGATTGGACTCAGTTCAGAATGCAATCATTCCCCGCCAGCCTCTCCTCGACCGAATATGCAGCGCGGGCATCATACGCTCTCCATATGAAACAAGCGAACACTCGCACCCTTGCAACCTCTAATTTGACTCCTGCAATCGATCCACACCTCCTACATCTTTGGAACGCTCGCCGCGGGCTCATAAGGCGCTGGAAACGCAACAAACTTAACCGGAAACTTCGCGCTCGCATTGAGGCGCTCACTGCAGAGGCGGCCGCATACTCCACACAACTTTCCGATGCTAACTGGGCAGACACCTGTTCGAAGGCTGCAAACCAGATGAGCTCTAAGAGTGCGTGGCGACTCTTTAGAAGCCTTCTCGATCCCTCCACCACCAGGGGAGAAACGCAACGCCAGCTCCACCGCGTTCTGCATGCCTTTCAGGGCACTACGGATGAACTCGTGCGAGAACTTTGTGACCGCTACATCTGCCGCACAAATGATCCCGCAGGCCCAGCATATACGTATTCCGGCACCCCTAACACCGACCTCGACGCCCCATACACGCTTTCTGATTTACGATTTGCACTCACGAAAATGCGACGGGGCACGGCCCCTGGACGCGACGGAATCACAGTATCGCTCCTGGCAAATCTTCCCGACCAAGCACACCTCTCACTACTCCACCTTATAAATTCGATATGGGACGGCTCTCCGCTTCCAACGGAATGGACCACATCGGTCGTGACATTCATTCCCAAATCGGCAAAGTCCGTTAGTATTGAGGCACTGAGACCCATCTCACTTACGTCTTGCGCAGGCAAACTCATGGAAACCATGGTTCGCGAACGCCTTTCCGCCTACTTGGAGGCCAGGAGGACCTTTGCCGACACGATGTTTGGCTTTCGCCCCCATCTGTCGGCGCAGGACGTCCTGCTCCAGCTTCAACACTATATCATAGAGCCGACTACTATGCGCCATAACGATAAAGCCGTGCTCGCTCTCGATCTCCGCGGGGCGTTCGAGAACGTCAAACACAGCACTATACTCACTAACCTGTCTACCACAAACTGCGGGCAGAAGACTTTCAACTACATTCGCGCCTTTCTATCACATCGCACCGCCTTCATTCGCCCTAATTCTATCGAACACGGCCCGTACTTATTAGGCACGCGGGGTACACCTCAAGGGGCAGTCCTGTCTCCTCTGCTTTTTAACCTGGCGATGATGAACCTCCCCTCTCTTCTAAGCGAGGTCGAGGAAATACAACACGCAATATGTGCGGACGATATCACAATCTGGACCAACACTGGCTCCTTAGCGCAAATCGAAGAACGCCTGCAAAAGGCTGCCCTTCTGGTGGACACCTACGCAGGTTCATGCGGCCTGGAGTGCTCTCCAGCTAAATCGGCTCTTCTTTCAGTCTCTCCGCTACCGCCGCCTCAAATTTTTCTTCCGTCCGGGCCCGTCCCGTCAGTGCAAAACATTCGGGTTCTTGGCCTTCACCTCACATCGTCCTTGGATCCAAAGGGCGCAATAGCAGGCCTCAGACGCACCAGCGAACAGGTGAGCCGCATGATACGGCGAGTTTCTACCAAGCGCGGCGGCCTCCGCGGGTCTCAGTCCCTCCGATTGGCCCACGCGTTTGTGACCAGTCGCGTCCTCTACGCCTTGCCTTACCTTCGCCTGCGTCGTCGACACGAGCATCAGCTGGGCGTCCTTCTTCGTTCAGTATACAAACACGCTCTGGACTTACCTATTGCAACTTCCAACAGCCGATTCGTGGCTCTGGGGGTACACAACACCTTTGTAGAGATGCGCGAAGCTCATCGCGTTAACCAAATCAATCGACTGTCGCAGACGCCTTCAGGGCGCCGTCTTCTACACAGACTTGGCCTTAACCCGATATCTGACCAAGACCCTCTGCAGCCGGTACCAGAGCTCTGGCGTCAAAAGCTATGGGTGGAACCTCTACCCCGTAATATGAACCCCGACCTCCATCCTGGCCGTAGACTAGCACGCGCCGCGGCCCTTCATACGCGACACTCCGATCGTCCTGGTGTTTTCTACGTGGACGTCTCGGGTCCCTCCCCCTCGGGTCACTTCACGGCTGCCGTGATCACAGAGGGCAAACACGTAGATGGCCTCTCCTTTCGAGCAGACACAGTAACGCACGCTGAAGAGGTTGCCATAGCTTTGGCCGCCTCTCACCCTGCCTCACGCACCATCCTGACGGACTCGCGCTCGGCCTGTTCTCAGTACCTTCAGGGTTCCATTGCCCCGCTGGCGACAAGCCTGCTACAGGCAGCCTCTTGGCGCTTTAACCCTCATCCCATTCGTATAGTCTGGACCCCAGGCCACTCGGGCCTGCCCGGCAACGAGGCGGCAAATGCCGCTGCCCGCGCTTCTCCTGTCCGGGCCGTTGCCCCTCCATGTCCCGAGACGGAATCTGGCAATACCAACCTGACGCGCTTTCGCGAAATTTTGGCTTATTACCGGGCTTTGCGCCGCCTCTACCCGGACCCCGCACGCGGTTTGGAGAAAGCGGACGAACGACTGCTACGCCGCCTGCAGACAAACACCTTTTTCAGTCCGGCGGTCGCCAGGCACTTTTTGCCGGAAATCAATGGCACCTGCTCGACCTGTCATGTCCTCGCCGACACATATCACGTCGTAGCATCGTACCCAGTTAATCCCGTCCCTTTCTCACCCCCTTTTCCTATCCCAACTAGAGAGGCTTGGGAGGAGCACCTGCTCGGCTGCTCTACCTTGGCTGCACAACGCTCCTTGGTGGAGCGCGCACGGGCAGCTTCCAGCTCCACTGGCGTCCCGGAATAGGGTCTTGCCACTCTAGCACGCCGATGGGCCACGTCGGCACTCTCTAGTATACTTTTTCTGAAATAAATGTTTTTTACCTACCTACCTACCTAGCAAAACGCGAGCACTTTACCTGGCGCTAGACGTGACCAGCGTCTGTCGTTGAGGCACGGCGGCAACCGTCGCGAAATGCGACATCCTGCAGTTTGCGCCGACGACGTTACCTGAACAACACCGCGTCTGCTTAGGTTCGTGACGGAAATACGCCGGGCGCGCTCAAACGCACATGCGCCAAAACAACGCAGCGCGACGTGCGCCTGCGAGTATATTCCAGGCAGATCGGCGCCTGGCGTGGCATCGCCGTCGTGATGCAACGAAACGAACGCCGGCACGCACGCACGCCTGCTCACGTTGAAGTGTGTTGGCGCCTTGAGTGTGGCATGTAGTCATGTTCTCACATGACATGCATCTCATGACTTGATGTTTGCACCAGTCACATACTTCGCCATCCATTCACGCGACCTAATACCAAATTTGGCATATAGCGAAACGGCCGCGAGCGCATCATGAGTGTGGCTGTGGTTATGTTGTTACATGATAAGCATGTCATGATTTTCTTGTTTGGACGTGTCATTTTACATATGCCATCTGTTCTCGTCACGTAATATCGAATTTGGTACATGTGAAGCTTGCTAAATGGCCGCGAGCGCATCATAAGTGTGGCATGTAGTCATGTTGTTACATGACACGCGTCTCATGATTATCATGTTGGCACCAGTCACATACCGTCGTCATCCATTCACGCCACGTAATACCCAATGTAGTAAATGTGGAGCTGTAGCGAGACGACTGCGAGTGCCTCATGAGCATGGCATGTAGTCATGCTCTAACATGACACACACCTCATGGTTATCATGTTTGCACCAGTCACACACCTTCATCATCCATTCACGTCCCGTAAACACCAAATTTGGCATATGTAAAGCTAGCGAAACGACTGCGAGCATATTATGAGCATGTCGCGTTGTCATGAGTCATGACTGACATGCATACCTGTCATGATTTCCACGTTAGGGTTTGTCAGTTGTTTTCGTCATGCAGTCATGTAATACCATGCCAATTTTTGCAACATGTCACGTAAACAAAATCACCGCAAGAGCAGCATGACCATAAATTGTAAATACTGACATTCATGACATACGTGCAATGATAGTCATGATATGACTAGTCAAATATGCTCGCCATACGCTCATATTATGCCATACCAAATTTGGTAGTGATACTATTAACGAAACGGCCGAGAGAGCTAAAAGTCGTAGGCGGCTAGATAGATAGATAGATACGCTTTAAGTCGCTGAAGTTCGCTAAGAAATGCTTCGCATTTAATATTTACTAGCCCAATCTTACACTTTGCTTCAGGAAACCTCACTCCATTAATTAATTAAGAAGGGCTCGAAAGGGTTAATTGTACGCACACACAGGTTCCTTTTCTAACGGTGCGGTTGAAGTGAGGGGTCCATCATGAAACGATTTATAAAAGGGATTCGAAATTGAACAGATCAAACTACTTTATTCTACTTTTTCAAGGCAAAGCTGAAGCAACCTCCCAAGCTTTTGGCAAAGTGTTCTCCAGGCAAGAATAACCAGCATCTCCCTTCTTTTGTTTGCACGGCACGCTCGGTGCCTATGATGCCCCACCTTTTAGTGCCGCGGGATTCACTCGTGTCTTTTGAAGCTTCAGCACGACACGCTTCCGGCCCTTCACTGTTGTTGGTGGTGCTGCTGCTGCCGGTATACAAAGTATCCTCTTCCTGTGCCATACTCATCCTGGGTATTAAAGCAGAAAGACAGTCTGTCAAGACAGTGTGCGATATGAGTCAATAGGCAAGCCAACTACTGATGCAGTCATACGTGATCACGCAAAAATTTTCTCGAAAGCTAGTTTGCGCACGCCCAACGCACTTGATTGGAAGATACTATTGATAAACTGTAGCTGCGTAGAAACTTTGTCGAATTAATGTTGACGAGTTTACTAAGCTCATAGTTAATAATCAAATAGGCCGTAAACAAAGACAGAAAGAAAGGGGATTCAGTTACGCGGCGTTATGCGTGTAGCACAACACTAGCCGCCACGATGGTGGCGGTACTCGGCTGCTCACCCACAAGTCGCGAGTTGAATACCAGCAGCGGTGGTCTCATTTTGATGGAGCTAAAATTCTAGAGAGGCACATATGCTTCGATTTTTGTGCCCATTACAAGAGAGTTTTAGTTTGGCGCGCGCAACCGGCTAGCATACGCAACGCGCTAGAGGAAGCAAGAATGCGCATGCGCCTAACCTAAGTGAGACGCGTGCTTTTGCGCACGCAGATGATGCGCTTGCTAGATGTAGGCGCTTGCGTTGCACCTGCGATGGCCGTTGCGTATCTTAGCGGCGGCTCTCAGGAGATATTGAACAGCCGAGACCAAAACAAGATGGCTGCGACCGACAACACTTCGGTGGTCGTGACAGCGAAAGAAATCCGTGTGATTTACGGTGCATTTGGAACTTAAATAAGTAACCTGATGTCAATGGGTGAACAGGTACAGTGCATTGGAGTCACTACTAAGCTGGAGGGCAACGTTGTACTACTGGACCACGTCATTTACGGAGAAGCAGGAACCCGACTCCGACGTGAAGCACCGTGACGGATTTCTGGGTTGTGTACGGGGCATCGTGTGTGTGATCCCTTTGAAATGTGGTGGTTCCTGTGTGTGTCTAACCGAAAAATGTCTGAATGATCGTCTGTAAAAGCATTGCAGTGAAGGTGAGTGAAATAAAGGTTAGTTATGGTCATGCATTTAGCGTGCATGTAGATGGACGTCCGTGTTCTACGAAGCTAAAGAGATTTTTCTAGCATACGGTTCATTATGAAAGCAGCTATCACGACGTGAAGAATGACACATGAAGACGCCGTGTCAAATAAAGGTTAAATCGCAGTCAGCGATCGTCTTTGCCATTTTTGTCCCTCATGCTGCTAGTTCACCTAGCATCAACACCCAAAACCACTACTCGTCCTAGGAAATGATCGCCTTGTCTCATGCCCTGTCTTGTGTGTTGCGTTGACGAACATCGGTTCTGGCTAGAAGCAACACTCAAAGGCAGGCGTGTTGAAAATCAGGAGCAGTACCCGTTTCAGATGTTGCGCACGTTAAACTATTGCTTTAGGACGCAGTCCTAAACCCAGTTTTCGCAGCGCGAAGCGCGTTGCGGACGTGGAGCTTTGCGTGCGTAATAATAATAATAATATATAATACTAATAATATATAATAATAATATAATAATAATAATAATAATAATAATAATAATAATAATAATAATAATAATAAGTGCCGCCCTATCCACGAAAGTGAATGATGATGAGTGGGCGAAGCTCCGGAGGTAAAACCTGGTAAAACCATGAATCCCTCGTACATTTTGCCCACTCGATTTTATTACATCGCTCCCCCTAGCGTACGTCGCCGCACTAAAATCGAACGATTGCCTTCAACCAATGACACGGCGCCATATGTGACATCATTCCTGTTTTATAAGATTCCGCGTCTTTCATCACTACAAGTACCGCTTGTCTAGTTTATTAACATCTTGCATCTTTTCATCATCAGCTACAGTACCACCATCTAGTAAACACTACAAGAACTAAACGAGAGGTGGCTACATACAGGAGACGGTACCGCCATCTAGTGAACACTGCAAGAACTAAACTAGAGGTGGCTACATACAGGGGACGGTACCGCCATCTAGTGAACACTGCAAGAACTAAACTAGAGGTGGCTACATACAGGGGACGCACAGCCACGCCCTAAGGAGCTTCGCCCCTAATAATAATAATAATAATAATAATATATAATAATAATAATAATAATAATAATAATAATAATAATAATAATAATAATAATAATAATAATAATAATAATAATAATAATAATAATAATAATAATAATAATAATAATCAGCAGCCTGACGGCGCCCTCTATACAAGGCAAACTACTCCCATGATCCGCCAATCAATCCAGCCTTGTGCTTTCTTCTGCCAAGTTATACCTGCGAACTTTTAATCTCATCGGCCCACCTAACTTTGCCACCTCTTCGTTCGTTTTCCTTCTCTGGAAATCGTCTGATGGCTTTATGTATAATTTCAAGCGTATCATTCTGCAGTGAGGCCGGGATGACAAAGTGATTACCCTCTAGAAGGACGCCGCTGGCGAGATCTCCCTGATGGTCAGTATTTATTGTGATCTGGAAGCCAGTCTCGATGAGGCCAGCTCAGGGTCCAGTACTTCACGAGCCATACTCATTCTCCGTCCAGTTCTTGGTGCCTGCGGGCATCGTCTGCAGTAACCAGCTTCGTGTCAGTGACAATTTCAACTTGCAAATCTACCAACCCCTTTACCACATCCACCGGACTGATCAATAGTTTCTCGGCCGGAGCCCTTGAAAGTGTATCAGCCGTAGATATCTGTTTGCCCGGAACGTGGACCAAGTTGAATTGGTAGCGCGTAAATTTGACGCGGAACCTCTGAATACGCGGAGGAATCGTGTACAGTTAAGCATCTTTAGGTCATGTCACCAGTGGCTGGTGATCGGTTTCCACTGTGCACTTGAGGCCCCGCACCCACTGGTCGAAACAGTGCATGGCCAATGGTACCACTAACGCTTCTTTTTCTCTTTGGCTGTAGCGTTTCTCTCCGCGTCACTTAGTGATCGTGATCCAAAGGCTACCGCGTGTACTTCTCTCGATGGTTCTTCATACAGAAAGAAGAGTTCCCTATTCAAATAAGCTTGCGTCACATGGTACTATGGTATTGCGACCGAAATGATACTTCGCAACGCAGATGTCCGGCGGGAGAATCGCCTTGTTCCGATTGAAATCGGTCTATTGAAGTGGTGCTATGCACTCCCTTGTATTCTGCTCACCTAGCAAGGCGTGGATAGGGGCAGTTGCCTTTGCAAGGTTGGGAAAGAAGCGCCTAATGCAATCAGCCATAACCTGGAGGGGTTTAACACTGGCGACTTTCTTGGGTGGCTTTTATAGTTGCGTAGGGCTTCGAGTTTGCTGGGGCTTGGCGAGATACCATTGGCGTCGACGACCATAGCCACAATTAAAGAACTCCACCCTGTCTTGACCAAGAAAAACTTCTTGTTCAGGTTTACCCCAGCTCTTTTCGGACGTTCGAAAATAGCCACAAGTAGTTTGTTGCGCCTAATTAATGATCATTTCCAAAAGGCAGGGTGTCGTCTATTATAGGTTGACACGTCAGGTTGCCCTTTAGAATTTGAGCTAAGGTTGACACTTTAGAATGCTAGCCATTTCTCGTTTAAAGTACTCAGGTCTTGATGTCACGCCTAAAGGTAGACGACAGTAGCAGTAGCGTTCGAATGACATGATTATTGTGGTGTACCCTTAGCATTCTCGGAATGATTCCACATGGTGAAATCCTGTTGTCACTTCTAGTTTTTAGAACACCTTTGCGTCTCTACACAGAAAGTTGTCCGAGAACCCTTGCAACCGTTGGAGGCATAACTTCCTTATGGAGCTTCAAGTTCACGCATATTTGGATGCCGCCTGATGCTTTCGGACCGGGACACCACAGCGTTGACTTCGTAATGTGCTTGATGACACCTTCTTTTTAATCTGGTTCAAATTTCCTTCACTTCGTCGCACAGAGGAGTTGGAGTGCTACGAGGTACACTGAGAGCAATGGCTTGACATTTCGCTTGAGAATACGTTTGAGATAAAAAAGTGTACTTTTGCCCTACGGTACCAAGTCCATTGAAGATGTCCTTGCTAAGAGTGGCATCGCTTGCAGGGTCAGTTGGCTTGTCAGGTCGCCGTGCGGCGTCGATGAATTTCACGACTACCAAGGTGAGTATAGCAGGGTAGCCTAGCAGAAGCGTAGACTGCGAAGACATGACATAGACTGACTGTACGCAGGTGCGACTTTTGCAGTCTTACGTAGCTTTGAATTGGCCAGCCATAATTTTAGGATAACTTTTGGACCTGTGAGAGGACCATCTGGTTCGTCGATTTGAGACGGTACGCCCGAGAAAGTGCTCGCGATGACCATAACTTCCACTCCTGAGTCAACCTTAAGTTTTAGTAGGATGCTGTGGACGTGCTCCCAAATGAACTTCGCGTTTGCTTCACAACTGGTACTGACAGCATGCGTCTCTATATGCACCGTTCAGTCGAGTTTTCCAGTGCGACTGCAGCGCCAGAATAGATAACCTAGCGGATGAAAAAAGCACCCTTGAGACAGCGTCGGTGAAAATGGAACGCGACGCGCGCATCTAGCGCCCTGCATCTGTCGGCGGATCGTGGCCGGCATACATGGTGCTTAGAGATTCTCACAATCACACCAAGAGGTAAATCTGCTGACAGTGAGCTGCTTGATGCAGGGTAATAACCAAGGAGGATTAAAGAAAAATTGCTAGAGTGGAAGCTACTGCATTGCCTTGCCAGCAGAAGTGAAGCCAGCTTTTTCCACTGCCAAGATGGCGAAAACATGCTCTTTTCTGATAGTGCCCACTTAAAAATCAACTGGCTTTGATATGTTATGTAAATGCTGCGTTTGTTCTAAATCAAAAGATAGTTGTTGCCGACGAAATAACATACAGAAACGAGTATAGATGACTGAATCTTCAAAGAACTTTGCCTCCCATTAGACGCTCACTAAGGAAAACTAGTGACTGCAAGACGCACTTGGAACACTATGTGATCCGAAAAAGTTCCCACATTAGACTCGTTGGGCGTTCGAGGGTAACGCCCCGTATTTAATCGCTGAACGGTGATGCTTTATCATGCCCCTAGTAAGATGGCCGCCACAGCCGCCATCTTGTCAGAGGAACGGCTTCACTTCTGCGCAACCATTTCCCCTCCAGCAATTTTTTTAAATCCTCCTTGGGATTAATGGCATACGTGAGCTTCGAACTTGGCTCGGATTTGTATACCTCAACGACGCGTCCGGCATCGTGTTAAAATGATTGATTTCTCATTAAAAGGGCACGTAATAAGCTTTTTATTTTTGTCATTACACAGAAACGTGTTGTATTTAAATCTCAAACCTTCTACGTTGATGTACAATTTTACGAAGCGTAGGAAGTAACCAACGACCACTAAACTTGGTAGGCAGACGACAAAGTGAGCGTTTTTTCCGCCACGTTTATTTCGTCTGTTCATTTCCTTCATCATTTGATTGGGCCGTAAAGATGAGTGGAGTTTTATTTTAGAATGTAACACGCGTGGATGAGATCCATTTATAAATGTTTAGTTTTAAAGAAGCTTTATTTACGCAGTCGTACTCACTTTTGAGCCGATGCCTCGCTCAACACCAGCTAACACAAGTCTCGCAGACTCGGCGTTCCAACATCGCTCCTTAAGAAATTCGCATAGACGGTGGCGCCACACTTCCCTCTAGGTATTTGTGAGAAACTCTAAAACATGGGGGTCCGTGCACGTGTCTATTTTCTGTGTGCTCCTAACGGCAAATGTCGAAGACATTGCGACGAGGCAGTGTGAGCACTGCAGCTCCCTATGGACAGTGGGCGGTGCCTCTGGCATGTGACTGTCGGTGGAGCAAACACTTCTTGGCTAAGCAAACCGCTTCGAAGGGTCCTTTCTTTTTGTAGAAATGGAAAACCGCTTTCCTGGCAGAACAAAATTTCCGTTGCTAAGCTTCTCGTCCCCATAGAACCCACTATTCATGCGTAGCGTTGGCGATGAAGGTCTTTCCATATATGATAATGCTCACCTACGTGACTGTCTTTTCGCAGGCATCAAATTCGCTGCATGCACGGCGACTGGCCCAGATGACTAAGTTGCGCGTTCCTGTTTTTCTCTTTCGGCGTCTTATGCAGTCATGCATTCAGGAGCGCTTTCTCCAGCGTCAATATGCCAAGTGACAGGCAAAGATGTGACAGGCAAGACAGCCTGACAGGCAAGACAGGCAAAGAAGTGACAGGCAAAGTGACAGGCAAAGACAGCCTACGAGAACCGTATAATCTGAGAGTGGTACATGCTATACCCTAAACAGAGTATTGTACTCCACACCTTATCTCAACCTCATTATGACCGAAACACAAGCAATGAACTTTATAATCCGACAAACCACCAAGGCAGCGCTCCGCCTTCCAAAAACCACCAGTAACGAACGCCTCGCAGAGTTATGTCTGCATGCCACTATACACGAATGGGCCGAAGCGCACATGCAGGCGCAATACGTCAGACTAGCGAGCATCAATACCGGTACACACATACTTTCGAAGCTCCAAATTTGCATCCCCGCTAATAATTATTCCCTAAAGTCACAACCAAAGGAAATTCGCGAAAAATCTTGTATTTGACCGCTCCCCCGTAAGATGCCCCCCGACCACCATCGCGAACGACAAAGAGCTAAATACTCTCCATAAAGTGTAGGGCAGGTAACAAGTTGAAATCTGGGTAGATGCTGCATGCGATCAGCCCGGAGCCACTGTGCGGTGGTCTACACCCCGAACACTGCTCCATTAATAAAGGACTACCTCCAGGGACAACAGCGGAAGAAGCGGAAGAGGTCGAAATTGCGCTAGCGCTCGGCCGTTTCAATGCTGCGTGCATCCTAACTGGTTCGAAAACTGCATTGCTAAATTATGCTAGGGGCAGAGATCACCCTACTACTTACCACATGCTCGACCAGAATCTCCATTCCTCCCGCAGCGTTGAGCTCATCTGGGTGCCCGTGCATTCAGGAAACTCTGGCAATGAGGCCGCCGATTTTTTAGCCCGAGGGTCAAGAAACCGGGCACAGGCGGACCTTTTGGGGGTTTCTTTAAGAAGCGTGAGTGCACCTTTGCTGAGCTCACTGGAACGCTCGTGCGGAAAGGCAGATATACCCGCCCCCTCACCCTTCCCTTACCAACAGGGGAAAGACACATATGGCGCCATCTTCAAACGCGGACCTTACCGACTCCCTCCCTCCTCTCCCACTACCGACCCATCTCACCTTCCTGCCCTATGTGCAATGCACCGAGGGGAAACATAATTCACGTTCTCCTGGCCTGTCAGTCTTCTCCTCCTCACGTTGGGCCGGTGCCACTCCGGACCTGGGAGGGATGGGAAACCTCGCTACGCTCCTGGTACCCGGCAAGGCAGAAAATCGCCACCAGCCTTGCTTCCAGTGTCATGAACTTAATAAACATGAATGTTCTAGAATGGTGAGGTCGCGCGGGGACCCAGGGGGCCAGGTAGGTCTTAAATTCTGCTGCAATAAAGTTTTTTCGACTCGACTCGACTCCGGCATCCATTCAGAAGTGCGGGAGAGTTGTTCCGATAGTGTGGCGTCCAACAAGCGGGCAAGAAATCAGTCTCGAACGAGCCGCTGAGCCATAGTTGCATCTTTTGATCATGTTTTGCCACACAGAATAAAAAACGTCAACGTTTCGTCTGCTTGCTGCGTTCACTTATGAAAACGCTAACTTTTATGAACTTTGTTTACCGGGTGAAAGAAAATACAAGGTGAACCTGCTTTTCACAGCGCTGTACGACAGAGCTTCTTCGGCAGTCAAGCTGAGAGGTGCTAGTGTGTGTCGAGCTTGAACTCGTGCAATAAAAAAGCCTTCGTACCCGAGCCTCGTTGGTAACTCGGTGCATTCCTGTAGCGTTGGCCACGACCTCCTCTAGAGGAGGTCGTGGCGTAGGCGTAGTCCTCGAACAGCCCAACCCTGCTGGACCACAAACTTGGGTCGTTGAAGTCGAAGCTCTGTGACTGCTGGAGTCCAGGCATTTTAGCAAACGCAGGGTCAGGCTTGAACTCCATTACAGAGAGCGATGGTGGCCACTTAAGACACTACGTACGATGCAACATGCAGCAAGGCGCTTGGCGCGTCTACACAATTGACTCGGAGCCATGTTGACCGAACGAATCTCCCCACAGCTTTATTCGGCTATAACACATATATAGAACAAATCAAGGGGCTTTAAGAACGCATGCTGCACAGCGCCTTCTGCGTTTCAATAATTAACAGGAGAGTAGGCAGGAGCATCAGTACGACTGCAATACCTTTACCGATGCATTGCACTAAAATGAGAGAGGTGCACTTGAGAACGTTCCTGAACGACAGCTACAGTTACTGATCTTGTGTCTCGTGCATTCGCCAGCATATGAATCGCTGCTGACACGCTCTTACCTCGATATTCGTCGCAGTGTTGCCCGGTTGTGGACGACTGACCGAGAGAAACAGTGAGAGGTCGTTGTTGTTGTTGTTGTTTCCCTTTGCAAATGGCTCGTACCCAAAGAAGGGGATTGGCCGATTATAAGGTGAATTTGCCCTAAACTTTCAGCATTGCGTCATTCCTACATTTTTTTTGTAACTTAATTTTGATTTGAAATACCGATATCAAGTTTGCAGAAAAAAAAGAAAAATAGTGAGACAGCAATTTAGCAAGAAAATCGTTTAGTCGCAGTGATGTATTCTTGAACGGCGAATAAAACATCCCTGTGGCTGAAACCCAGTGTAGAGGCTCCAAATGAAAGAAGATCAGGTTGTGATAGTTGCAAGCCCAGTCTTTGAAGAGGTGGTGCTAGTATGCTTTGCCTCAATAAATCGAAACGGCGACGATGTAATAAAATGACTGATCGTTTCCTCTTGATTACAGTAAATGCACATAGGGGAATTCAATATGCCTGATCTATGCAAGTAAAAATTGAGGGAGGTAACGTGGCAACGAAATTTCGTGATGACAACTTCCATCATCCTTGATTTAGTCAGTTCACTGCGCCAGGGAAATAACAAGTGTTTGTACTCTGGAGAAGCCGTCAATGCAGGGTCAGATAAATTTTGCCTGATTTTAAGTGTGCGAAATCGCGCCACCGTAATATATACTGTATGAGGGAAAATAGGAATAATTGGTGTCGAAAGGGATGCCTTCGCAAGAGAATCAGCTATTTCGTTTAACAACAAACCTTTGTGCCCTGGTGTCCAGATTAAATGAATACTTTGGAGATGACAGGGGATCAACGATTTAAAAAGTTTCACTATAGGTGAGTGACCAGATGCGGACAGAGAAGAGCACACTGATAATGAATCAGTTATGACTGCTACAACTGGAATGGAAATATTTACCTTTCGCAAAGCTAACATTATTGCCATGAATTCAGCCAGAAAGACAGGAAGAAAGTCCGGTAAGCGAAGTGAAAATGACCAATCAAGTACGGGGCAGTAACGCCTGATTTTTCACGTGATTGAGATGCGTCCGTTGCTATAATGACATTTGTTGGCAGACTACTTAAATGGTCCTGCAATAAACCATTTAAAATGCCTGTAGGTAATAGCTTTGCGTGAGTTGGGAAGATATCATGGTAAACAAGTTCTGGAGAATTTTGTTGCTCAGGTAAAGGAATCAGATCATGAACGTGTACATTTAGGGGCTCAAGTAACGATTGAACAAATACTATTTGTGGTTTGGTAAATCTGGGCCAATGCACGGAGAAGAAAAGGTCAGGATTGGAAATAAAAATAATTTGTTCAGGGTTAAACGGTGCTTCATATAGTCGTAAAAAGGTCTGCACAGTAAGAATGTTAAAGCGACATAATAAGGTTGGTATTCGTGCTTCAAGGTATAACACTGCATTTGCAGTATACTTTGGAAGTCCTAAGCAGAGCCGTAAAGCCTCTCTTTCCAACAGAACGAGCGGCCGAAGTTTGTAGGCTGGCGCACCAGAAAAAAGAATGCAGCCAAACTCCAACACAGGTCGGACATACATTTTATATATAATCAAAAGTGCCTTTCTTCTCATACCTGATCTACAATTGCTCAACCTCCGCAATACGCCCATCGCGCGTACTGCTTTTGTCGCGATGTATTCAATGTGAGGGCGCCAATTTAGATGCTCATTATACATAACTCCAAGATATTTCAATGATTGTACTTGTGGGATATCTTGAAGCTTGTAATTAATAGATATGTGCACGGGATCTTTAATTGGAAAAACGAGAATAGCACATTTACCGATATTCAGGTTCAACATCAATCCATCCAACCAATGTTCTATTTTATTAAGATATGTTTGCAAGATAGCGTAGAGACAGTGGAAGTCATGTGCCATAGCAAAGAAAGCAATGTCATCGGCATAAACATAGGTTTTCACTTCTGGATGAACGGGGATGGTACTAAGCAATATGTTGAATAAAACCGGGGAGAGTACTGACCCCTGAGGTACACCTCGGGTTTGCTTGTGCTTACAGGAAGAGAATCCGCCTTGATAACAATAGAATTCTCTTCTACTTAAAAATTCCGTCACCCATGCTACTATATAAGGTGGAAGTCCATGACTCCATAACTGATTAGTCAAGATAGAATACTCTACACTATCATATGCTTTACATATGTCTAACGTTACTAAAGCCGCAAAGTGCTTTTTGTGACGGGCAATATGAATACGACTTTCCAGATCTACATGTGCATGCCATATGGAATATCCAGATCTAAAGCCAATTTGGGAAGAACTCAACAGTTGTTTCTCGTTAATAAACCTAATTATACGACCATGAAGTACCCTTTCAATAAGTTTTACTACATTAGATGTTAAGGCTATCGGTCGTATGTTGTCTAAATTATAGCCTGCCCCCTGTTTCTTAAGCAATGGTATAATTTTCGCAATCTTCCATTCAGAAGGGATCCATGCTCTTCTAAGGGAATAATTGACGAGACCTAACAGATCATTCGGATATTCCCTGTGAAGTATTTTTAGCATTGTATTTGTTATTCCATCGGGGCCTGGTGCTGCATTTGGCAATCTTTCCATAGCCTGATTTAATTCGGAAGCCGATATTTCTGTGTAGTCATAGACGGCTGTTGTGTAAGCCGAATTAGGAAGATGCGTTGAGAACCTGTTTTCTAATTCTTTAGCCAACTGATTCAATGATTCCTGTAGTTCCTGTGAGGTGTAAACTACTGAGTCAACGTTTCCTGGTATAGGGGTCTTCTTCCTACCACGAAGGAAGTTGAATAAAGCACGTTTGTTATTTGATTTAGACAGGTACTCGAAATGTTCTTGGTCATATTGCTCTTTTGCTCGCGATACAGTGCGTTTAAATGTTGCCGCAATGAACTGATAATCCTTCCAATTTTTTGGACTCTGATTACATATAAGTCTTTTCCATGCAGCTTTTCTTCTTCTATAATCTCCTTAAAAAGTGCACTGGCATTTTCGCTGACCTTTTTGGGTTTTGTGTTTGGGCAAGGAGATTTTAATGGAGATCCAGTGCGCTTCTGACGCCTGAAATCTTGGCATACGTCCATTTCATTCTGATCCTCCACGTGGGTCGACGTAGAAGGTACGGACAAAATTGGGGTTTTCTCCTCGCGGGATTGTCGCTGTGGGGCTAAATTCGGTATAACTTCCACTGCACAAGGTGCCGACTTGGCCATCGGTACTGCTATTGCAGAAGCCAGCTGTGTCATCTGTGAGCAAAACACTTGAGAGATGCACTCACTCACGCTCGTAACTATGTGTTCCAGCGCTTTCGACATCGCCTTTTCTACTGCAGCCTCAATAAGATTAAGAATCTTCGTCTCACTCAGTTGTTCGTGCCTCGACGCGACTCCGGCATATCCAAAGGATCTATCCTTCACAACTGTTATTGCTTCTCGCCGCGAGCAACGACGTCTGTCCATGATTTCTAGAAGTTGCGTTTCATTAGACCTTGCGGTGCAGTTCAGATAATCGGCCGCGTGATTTCCTGCACAGAGGCAGCACTTTTCGGTTTCGGCGATGCACTCCTTCGATGGGTGGGTATCGCCACAGATGCGGCAACGTGAATTTGATTTACAGCCCCCTGCACTGTGACCAAAACGCCAACAGTTTTGACATTGGAGAGGACGAGAAGCGAGACGTTCGACTCTGAAAATGAGCGGCCATATTTTCAACTCGGATGGACAGGAAGTGCCGGCAAAGGTAGCAATAACCGACTCAGTGGGGACTTTCTCACCGTTAACTAATCGGTTGCATCGGTACACAGCTATGACCCCAGCATCAGACAGCTTTTCCAGAGTCTCAGCGGGCGTTAGTGTAGAGTCGACTCCTCGTACAATTCCCTTAGTGCACGCTAAATGAGGCGGGATAAATGCACTTACCGGGACCGAAGCAAAAGTCTTGCATTTTAGGATGTCAGAAACGCACGAAGGATCTGACGATCTGCATGCCAAACCACCTCTTCCGAACTGACGAACATCACTTATCATCTGAAAGTGCGGCGTCATGGCCTGCAACCCCACCTGGATCGCCTTCGGGTTGTTGAGCCTAATAAATCCACCACTCGAGGGCACCAGCGCAACAGGGATGCTTCCAACACCACTGCGGAAAAAATATTCCAATGGCAATTCATCATTAGGCAAGGAGGCTGACCAAGGGCTATGCCCTTGGCCAGGAGATGAATTAGACATTAGCACTAATTCGATTGCTTAAAGAAGTAATATGCAACGTCAGCTAGTTTCAACAGGTCAAATTCACCCAAAACTCAGCCAAACCACCGTCCGAAAGAGTCCGAAGGGACGATCCCGGTTCAGAACGAAGACGCTTCTGGAACGCTCTGGAACAATGGTAAAGCGATCAATCGCTGTTGCAAGCTTCGTGAGAGGTCGATGAAGATTGGCTCGCGGACTTTGTTTTCTTTTGTTGCGAAAAATATCTTGGCTCATACCCACAAGGGGGATTGGCCACACTGTACCTTACAACGAAAATTTAAATACAATAATTGTTAAAAAAGAGAGAAGTCAGATAAAAACCAAATCAATAATAATCAACATTAAAAATAG